TATGTATATATATATATATATATATATGCCAATATATGCCAATATATGCCATATATATATATATGTATTGGCTTTGTTTATATTCGCCTGTTGTAACCATACACTGCATTGTGCTACATTTGCTTTCCTTCATTTGTGTTGTTTTTTGGGGAACTTTTAAAGCTCCCAAGCTTAAGCCAGACTCTTCTGGTGTTTTATGTCCTTCACTACGAAGTTACCATTGTGTTAGCATAGGTGAGTGACACAGGTACTTGTACAGTACGTGAGTTCGAACCAAAGCTGATAACTGAGTTTTCGTCACGCCGTAAGAACGGAATTCTGATGTAAGTCAGAGGACTCACTTTAATATGCAAGAATAAATAATAACACAATAAATGAACTAAAGTAAAGCTTAGGAATCCTACTCTCTACTTCGTAGAATGCACAGATATCATCACCAGTGCCATGTCATATTATCTTCATGTTTTAACCACAGGAATCCCAACAATAAAAGACAAGCGGAGACTTTGATCTGGTTCCGCTCTGCTCACCAGAAGATGTGGCTGAGCAGCAGCGCCGCGTAGTCTCTCAGGGTCCAGTGGTCGTTCAGAGGGTTTATGGACGCGGCCAGAGGCTCCAGGATGCAGTACATGACGCTGGACACCAGGCTGCGCACATAGGAGCCCAGGTACAAGTAAGGGTTCTGCACCAGGCTCTTCACCATGTGGAGGAGTCGGTTGAGTTGCTCCAAATCATGACTCACTGACTTGACCTGGACACAGGAGCAGTGACTTTTTAATGCCTTTCATATTTGTACTGAACATTTCATCATTGATTTTTGAATGATTTTTCATCTCACAGTTTTTTTTTTAACCCACGCAGGCTGCCACGGAGGTATGTGGTTCGCTCTGGGTATATATCCTCTCAACTGATGCATCATAGCTGTCTCTATTATATATATATATATTGTGTAACAATGGTACATACCCCACTGATGACATAAACAAAGTATGGCAGCAGAGCAGCAATCTTGGAGTTGGACTGTAGGTCTAAAAGAGCCACCTGAAAAACACATCATACAAACGGCGTTAAGAAGTGACAGGCTGTTTATTGTGATCCAGTCACAGCTGTGGAGCCTTAGGATACACCGAATTTTCCAAATAAAACAAAAGTGAAGGACAAAATAAAGCTTAGTTTGTTTAACGATAAATTAAATGAAAATAAAATACTAAAATGAAACAAATTTTGAAATTAATTTTAGTTTTAGTGTTTCTATAGGCATTTTCCCTTAAAATAAAAGACAGGAAATTAGAAAATGATTAAAGAGCATTTGATGTTCTTACATTTACTTTTTAATCATGTATTCAACAGGGATCCAAGAAGGAACATTTAAGGTGGAATAACTATTTAACCATTAACACAACAGCTTCAATAAATTGCTCCCAGTGATCATCAATCTATCAGCCAAGCTTTAAACAATCCATAAAAAAATAGGCAACTGAAGCACAATCCAAAGTAGGACAAACAACCGGCAAACATACTAAGACATCTTCTGGGTACAGTGCCCCGTGACAACGGAGCAGCCAAGGTACTAAAAAGAAGAATGGTTTATAGTCCAGAAAACTCATGTGATAAGAGCTGACCTACTGTGTGTGTCTGAGTGACTTTAATCAAAGAGTTAAGTCGGTCTCTGTTGAATTCACCTTCATGAGGTGAGGATCCTCCCCCAGGATGGCACGTGTGATCTGCTGGTAATAGGTCAACAGGTCATCTGACAGAGACTGCACTGCAGAGGGAACTGTGGGGTGGAATCAAGACACGAGCTGTTTCACTGGCACACATCACACCACCGAGCTTAAAGTACTTTTCAAGGAGTCGTTCAGCACGTTTGGCACTAAGTCCTTTTCAGATTGACGAACAAGTGGCCCAGATGTCATAGATATGACAGCTATACTCTACTCGTTCAAAGTTAGATGTTGATTTTTTTTTTTTTTTTTTTTGGAAATACTAACAAAAGATAGCAAAACCACATCTTCCAAATTAGGCATGAGCAGCAACATTCCTAAATTTGGGAAACTGTATAAAAGCATTACATATTGACAAAAGAAGACTCGATATTTTGTTATTCCATTTTGGGGCCAGCAGAGGGAGCCATAATACCTGGCCATTTGCAGCAACTCCTTTCTAAATCAGTAGGAAGCTAGTGCGCACCCTGGTCAGAAGAGGTCATGTAAAGTTCAGCTCAATGATCATGAACTTAAAGGACAGCACGGAGCCATCCCTAAAGAGTTAAAAGCTCAGTGCTGGACATGAAAAAAAAAAAACATCAATGTCCTACTTGACATATCTGCCTCGTATCTAAGTTTGACATCAAACTCACCAGTGCCTTGAGGTTCCACGTTGCCCTTCCCGTCCAAATACGACACATTCACTAAAAGAACAAACAATAAATAATAAATTGGCACAAACAAACACATATTAAAGCAATCGGAACGGCCCAGGGAAGTGAGTTCATACCTCGAACCATGGTCTCAGGACATCCTTTGGGAATGTTAGTGGCCAGAGCCAGCTCCACCAGGTTAATGTCTTTGTCCTCCACAAAGAAAAGTTCTCCTTCTTTCACAGATCTGAACGGTAAAGAATCTTGGGCACCGTAGCCACAGATGGCCTGGACGTAACACACAAGTGAACTCTGGTGACCAGGGAAACTGATATACTGTATTTTCCGGACTATAAGTTGCACTTTTTTCATCCTTTGGCTGGGTTCAAAATATGTAATTTCACATGTTCATTATTTTCACACTGACACCTGCTGGAGGCCACTGGTGCAACTTATACTCCGGTGCGACTTATAGTCTGGAAAATAAGGTCATTTGTTTTCTTAAACTTGATAAAATGTAACACTTTTTAGTCTAAGACAAATAGGGACAAAAAATTGTTACACAAAAAAAATATTATCCACAGGTCAACGGTTCAGAATGATTTTTTTTTTCCTAATATCTGAAGAAAAGAAAAATGTATTTATACATAGGTTATTTGATGCCGAGCCACAGAGGGACAGAGTGGAAAAAATGTACTTATTTTTTACTAATTTACTTCATTCAATAGAGTCTATAAGATGTTTTATTTTGAAAAAAAAATGGAAGCTTTAATGATCCTTCAATGCTCAGCACCTTGGTACCAGTCTGTAGTAACAGATGGTACTGGGTGAGCAGTCGTTATAACAAAGAAGGTTGGGGACCACTGGTTTAGATGTCACCAGTCCATAACAGACTAATACATGTTTCTGCAATTGATTATTATTTATTCAAGCTACAAATATTGTTCATTGGTATGTAATAAAAAGTTTTATTTAAGTTAAAAAACTCTGCTGCATGCACCACAAAAAACGGCTTGGCGGGCCGGATTTGGCCCCCGGGCCTTGAGTTTGACACCCATGCACTAGAGGAACAGAGAGAGACGGACATACTGACCTCCACGTTACTCCAGTGCAGAGCTCTGTTGAAGTCCTCTACTGTAAGTTTACTTCTCTTGGCGTGTCTCATGAACTGTGAGCTGCTCTGTGTGAACCAACAACACAACAACATGATGGTGGTGAAACTGAACAGTATGAGTGGACACCACTATATCACTTCAACTGCCACTTGTATTCATCTCAGGTTGACTTTCTTTTAAATTCATCGGCGCCAGCACAGTGGTAAAATCATAATCTAGGACAATCAAGAAAAACACCAGAGTCTTAGTCAGACCAAGAGTCCGTAATGAAGTGTAAAAACTTCCCAAAAAAAAACACACACAAATGAAAGAAAGTGAACGTAGACACAATCCACTATATGGAGTACAATCGGCAAATGGAAACAAAGCTTTCTTCTATGTATAGCGCAGTGTGATGACATCCACTCCGCCCGCCAACTAGTTTCATTGAAACATTTGTTTAAATGCCGTATGTCGGAACACGATTTTCTTAATAAATTCATGGGAGATGGTAACCTAGCTGGGAAATGCGAGGGCGTCATTAACCGATTACCACCTTCCTCTGACTGCCTTTTTGAACACAACTATAAATATTCATAACTGTAACACAAACACTCATGTAGCACAACTACCTGATACAAGTCTGCATTTTAGGATTGTCTAAACCATTGTTTCCCTAACATTCTTTCTGCAGAGCTCCTGCTTTTTTTTTTCTTTCTGCTTTTTCTGGGAAATTGGAGCTAATCCCAGCAACCAACTAAACAGAGTTGGGTAAACCCAGACAGTTCACCAGCCTTTGCAGGTCCACAATTACAAACAATATTTATATTTCAGCCTCAAATCCATACCTATGGTACATTTAGAGTCTCTGAATAACCCTATCCCCAGTCTGTGCGTTTTGAGACTTTGGAAGGAAATTGGAGTCCCTGGAGAAAACTCACACAAGCAGGAAGTACAACTCAAACCATTGAACTGGTGATCTTCTAGCTGTAGGTCAAGTATGCTAACCTCTTCTGTTACCGTTTGACTCACAGCAACCTCTGACGTTCTTAAAAAAATAGTCCGACTTTTTCAATCTTGGGTTTTACAGAAACTGACAGTATTTGGTTCCATTACTGCTTTTTTTTTTTTTTCGAGAAACAAAAAGTTGCTTGACCTCAGCAATAACCCAAACCCTCCATTTCACATGTGATTAAGAGTCACCATAGAGAAACCAGTGTGAGAGTGTTAGTTTGATTTCATTTTCAGGTGACAATAGTACTCACCTGAGTCGCCTCCCTTAAGCGGTAACACACATCCTCAGCCAGCAGAGTGGCAACATCATCACCTAGCTCCACTCCTGAACTCTCAGCCATGAATTTCACCGATTCCCTGGAAATTTCCGCAAAGCGGCGTTCTTCCCGCTCCGCCATTTTCACAGTGGCGACGCCTGGATAAAAAGAAATCAGTTACATAGACTTACTTAGGCTTTGGAAATACATTTATAATGACAATTAAAAAAAAACAATTTGACTCTACTCAAGTAAATTTTAACTATGCACAGTTTTCAAATAAAGTTATCTACGATGCAATGAGAGCCTATTCTTTCGTTTGCATCTTTTAGGGAATCCTAATGAGCATTTCTTGAATCCTACTAAAAAGAACAACTAAATGTTTTTTGTTTTTTTTTAGATTAGATAAACTACTAGTGGCGCTTTGGCCCAGAGGCAGTGTCTCTGTCATTGGTGTGGAACCCCAGGGTTCACCTCCTGGGCAAGTTTGAATCCCAGTTAGGGCAGTTGGTACCTTCCAGTGAACTCACCACCCGTAGGAAGGTTTAGGGGGGTTGGTACGGTGCAGTGTGATTTGAGTGGCGAATGCTGCCCCGGCAACCCGGTTACGGAAAAGAGGATGAAAATCTGTGATTTGAGTGGCGAATGCTGCCCCCATGACCCGGTTACGTAAAAGAAGATGAAAATTGATAAACTACCGAGTGGCTGAGTTGATCCCTAGTTGGCAATGCATCGCGTTTCAGTTATTGATTTACCTCAAAATCGTGTGTCATTCATCTTTGTCCAGATCCTAATATCTACTGGCTAAAATTTAGCCCTAAGCAATGGAACGCACACATTATTTAATGTTTCCAACAGCCATTTGTATGTACTGTATCTTCTGACTTTCTCCTGAAATAATGAGAAAATTTAGACTTGAGATTCTCTTCATGTAAATTAGCACATTTATGCACACCAAATGTGATATGGCATACGTTTTGCCTTCCCCGATGCCTTTTTGTTTGGTTATTACGACCTTAGCAAAGTTATCCTTTCTGATGCCTACAAATCAGTTGGAAGGGTCAAAGTGTCACATGTATTCCTCAGATGCCGTCCTGCATCATTTTTGCAATCCCTTGCTGCACTTTCCATTCCCTATCTCTTGTTCAAAATCTTAAAGCCACTTTACACATTTATTGAGAGCAAAGCGATATCTCAAATTGGATCTTTTTTTTTAGTTTTTAAGGTGTCAAATCAAACTCAACAGTTCATGGCTGTCCTGTATTTACATCCCAAAAAGCAAAACACTTTAAATAACGCAGCGCGAAATTGTCGTTCAACATGCTAACTGAATGGGTTCAGTCATGTGCAGGTTATGTACGCCAGAAATAACTAAGACGTCATTGAGAATAATTCCACAACCTGAGAATATGCGTGTTACGAGATAACAGCTATAAAAGTTCAACTGAGGAGGGAACAACGATATCAGCGTAGGAAGAAGCTACACACTATTCAATGAGAAGAGCTAACACTCCGTGGTATTCAACAAAAGAGAAAGCGTCATTTTACATATTTAATAGTTAAGACTTTTACCTTGTAAACGTATAAACCCGACGGATCAATAACAAAGCAGATACAATTAGTCCATGCTCTTTTGTACAGCGCTGTCGTGCTACCAAACAGAAGAGCAATTAGTCCATGCTCTTTTGTACAGCGGTGTCGTGCTACCAAACAGAAGAGGAAACACTCGCAGGAGTTAGACTATCGTCTATGCAATAAATATGTATTAGTTGTGAAAAAACTGTATTTACCCTTAATACAAAACAATAATGACTTAGACTTCATAAAACAATAAAAGTAAATTTGTCTTTGAAAGTTTGAACGTTAAATATAAAGCCGCCGTAAACCGGAAATACTATATATTTTGGAGCGCCAAACTGTTGCCGACCCATTACCGCCATCTAGCGTACAGGAGTCTAAACGTAACTCATTATGCAACGAGAGACTGGGCATTTTATTAGACCTTTTTAGACGTGTTATATCTCTTCAATTTTGTACCAAGTATTCTCAAAAAATGATGGTACCCCAACTGTAAATAATATTTGTATTCATAAATACTGCACACAAGTAATTATATTGAATGCTATTAATACAAAAGTTGTTTACTTGGAACCGAAAAGAGCATCTTATTTCACTATTCAGCCAACAACACCAGCATTCCTCTCTCAATTCCACTTTCACCAACACAAACACAGGAACATTTGTCCTACAAAGAACGTATTTTTGTATAGAAATGGACAGAGCACCCTTCTTGTGTCTGAGCAATCCATATTTTCTGTAAACAAATTAAAGTATAGAGATGAGTGCAAAACAAAATATAATTTTGACCTTCAGCAAAAATTTATTATTATTAAGTTATTTTTCAAACTTTAAATTCTGCTTTAATAAAAAGTTGTCTATCAGAATGATTTCAATTTTCAATTTTTAGGTTTCATGTCCAATGCTGATATTGATACTGCATCATGGAGTATCTGCTGATATCAATCCCATACCATCTTTTCTCCTCCAGCAGTGTTGTGCAAAGTTAAATTGAGTATTTGGGCTTAGGAATCTGATTTCTGGATTTTGATTGATATTTTTTTCATAAGATTCTCTTTAGGAGTGACAAGGATGGACAGGATCAGGAATGAGGTCATTAGAGGGACAACACAGACAGGAAGGTTTGGAGAAAAAGACAGAGAAGCCAGATTGAGATGGTTTGGACATGTGCAGAGGAGGGACAGTGGATACATTGGTAGAAGAATGTTAGAGATGGAGCTACCAGGTAGGAGACAAAGAGGAAGACCAAAGAGGAGATATATGGATGCAGTGAGGGAGGACATGCAGATAGTTGGAGTCAGAGTAGAAGATGCAGAGAACAGGGAGAGATGGAAATCAATGATTTGCTGTTGCAACCCCTGGAGAGAAAAAAAAAGGGGGGGGGGGGGGTCCAAACATGATTGAGATGGACTGAAAGCAAGAATTTAGTTTAGGGAAAAATTTTAAAATTTACAGTTACCCAAAGTTATTAACCTCTGGTTATTTAAAAAAAAAAAAAAAAAAAAAAAAAAAAAAAAAAACTAAAAACTAAATGAGATTTCAACACCCAAATCATTAGCAAACACATCAAGTTAAAGATTAAAAATAGTTTATTCACAACACTGAAGCCAGACATTTCATTTAATACATTCCATTTATAAAATATGTACAATTATTAAAAGTTAATTTCAAATAGCTGGGCCCAAAAGGGAGATCCAGAACAATTTGTTATTGTCGATGTGCGACAGAACACTTCCAAAAGCCTCCAGTACACACACCTGTTCAACTGCAGTTTTAAAGTTAAGAATTAAAAAAATACAAAAAAAATTTTTAAAAAGTTTAAAGAATTATAAAAAAAAAAAAAAAAAAAAAACAGGGGTTTGGCATCAGGTGCTAGTGCTGTACGTTACATGGCTCTGTTGTCCCAGATCTCATGGGCCTTGCTGCTCTCCAGCTGCTGCAGGTGAAGGGCCAGAGGCAGCAGAAGGTCATTCAGGTGCTGGCTGGAGAAGGTGAAAGCATTGTGGGCAGTGGCCTCTGTGGGTGTGGTATCGACAGGTGGGGTCCAGGGTGGCGAGGAGGATGTGGACGAGCACGGGGTGGATCCCGAGAGCGAGGACGGGGAAGGTAAACCCGAACTTCCCAGTGAGAGCCCTCCTGGACTCTTGTCCGAGCTCTTCATTTTGCTGGGGAGACCGTGCTGGAAGCGGCAGCGCGTGCCGTACAGGCAGAAGCCGAAGGCCGAAAAGGTGCGACAGAGAGCGCCCCGAGGCTTCCACTCTTTGGTCTGCGGTGAGAATTTGGGGCTAAGGGGCAAAGGGGTTTTCTCGCCCGCATCAGGAGACTCCAGAGAACCATCGACTTTCTCGCCCTCGCTTCCTTCAATGTGCAGAAAGTTGCAGCGCGTGCCAAAGGGACAGACGCCGAAGGAGCGAAAGGTGCGACATGGGATATTCCTGCGGCGACGCAGGGCCGGGCGTTGCTCTGTGGGGTTGTGCACAAACAGACAGCGGCTGCCGTAGTAGCAGTAGCCCGTCGCGTGGAAGCTACGACATAGCTCCGTCTTGTACTTGGGATGGCGAAAGGGAACGTGGAGCTCATGGAGGCCGTGGGCGAACTGGCAGCGCTCGGCATACTGGCAACAACCAGAGGCCGAGTAGCTGGTGCAGAGCTCTGTCTTGTAGCGGGTGGAGCAGACCCAGGAGGCGAGAGGAGACGAGGAGCACTCCACCAAAGGGAGCAGCGCCTTGGCCAGGGAGAGACCCGGACCAGCGTGTTCTCCATCCAGCTCCTCATTGGAAAGGAGGTTGTCCACCAGCTGCTCATCGTGGCAGGAGGGCAGAAACATCTCGTCAGTGCTGGTCTGGGGATAGGGGGGAGAGAAAAAAAAAAAAAAAAAAAAAGTTGAAACAAGGGAAGTCAGTTGGGAAAAGGAAAAATAAACTGCAGAAAAGTTTTTTTTTTTTTTTAGACCACTGATTAATGTCACAATCAAAGTGTGCTTTTAAAATCAAAAACATGACTTTTTTTTTTTAACAGCTCAAATATTAGTGTTTGAATTGTGCAACTTTAGGTTTCCAAAAACCTGTGTCAGGCAGCCACACTAAAACTTTAAAATCGTAATTTAACTTGTTGTTCCGCAAACTCATTTGTCAACCATAGCTGGCGTAGCATCTGAACTGCATCGTAATTTCCATTGATTTTGCATTTTTATTTCCAGAAGCACAACAAATATAACAGTTCTCTTCACATTCACAGTTTTTAATTAGAGCTTAATCTGAATACTGTGATTAATGCGTCTATACTAAGCATGGGCAACCTAAGGCCCGGGGGCTGAGGAAATAGAAAAGAGCAAGTCAGTTTAAAAAACAACAAACATTAGTGTCATGTTTTTTGCTAAAATGGCAGGGGACATCATTCGTTTACATGAGTCATGATGGGAAAAACGCAAATGCGGCGAAGTGAAACGTCGCCTCGAATGCATAACAAAATTATCTAAGACGTTAAAAATGATAAAAGAATTTTAGCCTTTTTTTTAGCCTAGCATGCTTTTACATGCCATTTATCTAAGTTCACCACCCCATTCAATTTCAAGACAATTGTGGCCCACGCCTGGTCTATACAATTAACAATACAAACAAATATTAAAGAACTTAGCTTAACGGACTCACCTCTAACATGGCTCCCCACTAATGACAACAGTTTCCAGTACAAAACTTGGCTGACAAGGCTTTGGTCTGAGGCAACCTAAATGGTCTTTGTGTCTCCGTGTCTCAAGTGGTTCTCTGCTGTGGCTTTTTTAAACTGCTCCCTGCTCCCACGACTTAATGAGCCTCAGCTGTGAAGCGCGGGCTCAACGTAACAGGGGCGTGTCCAAGGACAATCACATTCACCTGCTGGGAAAAAACAAGCAGGCGCTGGAGAGTTCCAGTGTTATTTGGTTGAAACTGGAGTATCTGTGCAAAAGGAACGTAGCTACTGCTAATAATGTGAAAGTGCTAATAATACATTTTAAAAAATTCAGTGCTAATAATGTGAAAGTGCTAATAATAAATAAAAAAAAATCAAATTTTATATTTCATATTTGTGAAGATGTTTAAAAAGTCTTCTTTGAACTTTTAGTCCATTTTTTATAAAAATATCTTGCATGTATGTAATTTTATAATGCTAGTGTTAGCAACTAGATATACTGTTCTGGGGTTTAACTAGGTTTGTTAGCACGCTACACAAAACTTTCAATGTTTCATTGGGCGTTTTGTCTTGTATATGGTGCTATGACTCTTCTCTACTTGATTTTTTACTAAGGCAGAAAATGTTGTTTGAAAAAAAAAAACATTTTGCTAACATCACTTTGTTGTCATTGACCTGACTTAAGAGATCTTTCAACTTGTTTCTTCAACATTGCTCTTGTAGTTACTTGATGATGGCATGATCTTCTTGGAACTATTGCACCTCAAGGGAATCATCAAATCATAAAAAATAATAAAAAAATGTTTCTGCTCAGCAAAAATATGTTGGAAAGTATATACGGGGGTCCTCGGTTTACGACATCCTCGACCACGAGAAGGAACTTTGTCACAATAATTTTTTACTGAGAAAATCTGTTGTAGCTTTTAGCGAATTTCATGCAGCATTGTATAAAATCATATGGCATATATGGTTGGAAACTAAAAAAAAAAATTTTTTTTTAAATAATGTGTGACAGGGGAACTTTACATAAACCAGACAACAAAGCAGGAAAGAGAAAAAAAACTTTATTTCTTTTTTTTTTTAAACCAAGATAACATTAAACATTACGGAGACATTGGAATAAAAAACACTTGAGAAAAAAAAAACTTTCAGTTGTAGCATGTTGGTCTCTCCATACGAAAGAAAAAAAAAAAAATCAACCCCCTTTCAGTGTCCCCCCGGGTTCTAATGACAACCCCCCCCCCCCCCCCCCCAGTGAAGGAGAGCAATGTTTCCCCATGTACAGTAGCCTATCAGAGCCGTCTCCACAACAATGGAGAAGAATTACACTTTCAATGTAGAAAAAATTTCCAATATTCCACTTTTCTTTACACATTATTTGCTACAAAGTCAACACTTGTTTCTCTTTCTTTCTTTTTTTTTAATCTTTTTTTTTTTTGGAGAAATATTACAAAGCCCACATTGGGACCAGACTTGCTTATAAAACCATTGTAACCTCATGGATGCTGTGTGGCGAAAGGATACAAAGGAATTATAATTTTCCAATTTTTTTTTTTTTTTTCCAAACATACATTTAGTTTTCAACCTTCCATTGGGATTTAAATCACAAATCAAATGAAAACACAGCTCAGATGGCACGATTCCCTTCACAGATCATCAAAGCCTTTCACAATCGCAAACACCTCCACTGCTACGAGGCGCCACATTATTACGGACGAACGGTCGGAGGCCGCGAATCGACATCCTGGAGAAAAACTATTTTCACGTCAGACTTAAATCGGCTTTGTTTAAAATGACCGAGGAAATTACGGAGCGGTCGTCGACCTTTGTGGTGCTGTATATGAGCCAATTTATCCATTGACTTCTTAATGTTAAAAGCCTTAAAAGGATGCCCACCAGTGGGGGGGGGAAAAAAAGATTGTAGCTACTTTACAAAACGCTCACCTCTTACGCTATGATACATACGGCACTATGTCAAATGGAAATTTAAAATCTCTATCAGTTTGTTAACGTTTACGTCTCTGAGCTGGAGTTCATCGAGCAATTTTACATCACAAGCACACGAGAGTTGTCCATCCACGTTGCCTCCATGAGTAGGATGCATTTTGTCCAACCCATTTGTATATCAAGTCCCTTGCTCGTATTGAACCGAGGGACTTTATTTACTTGAACAGACAGAGGTTCACACACACAAAATAATAAAAATAAAAAAATAAACAAAACTGCATTATCTGGACTCAAGCGAGTTCATGTATTCCTGTTAAAAATTAAGTCTACAGCTGGGCTTACAGTGACTCCACTTAGAAGCAACCTCATGTATCACCGGCTGCCTGTGGGAGGCGCACTTGACACTGACCAAGAAGACGTACAAATTTATACTGCTGCTGTTGTTTAAACAGACCTCATTCAAACTACCATTAAGAAAACGTTTCAGTCCAACCTCACACCTTCAGAAATGCAGTAGGTCAAGTCTGACATCACATCTGCGTCGGCGGTATTCACCAGTGACCTTCATGAACCCCATTGGCCAACCCACGGGCTTTGTTCGGGAGTCTGTTTATTGGTACCCAACTGCGTCAAACGCGGAAAGTAACTGGTTAAAATCCATGCTGCTAACGATCGTCATTTAAAAACACAATTTGATTCTGCGAGGCGAGCAGCTGAACCAATCAGGAGCCGGCGTGTTCTTTCTGCGGCGGCAGCTCTCATTCAAACAATTGAAATGAAGTTACGAGTCAGGCCTTAACAACTGTAGGAGGTTGGCCAGAAATGAAGTGAGAGAGAGAAGACAAGTGGTTCCCAAAGGGCGGGTCAGGTTAATTTAAGTTGTACTATATTTAGGAACTTCTGCCATATTTGGGGGGAAAAAAAATCATCTAGTTGTTTTTGACAAAAATATTGATTTTTAGCAGATGGCTGTCAATAGCTGTAAGTCTCGGCAATAGTGCCTACAAAAGATTGGGGGCGCTACAGAAAAGCTAATCACTGAGGCATAGGACCAGTAGGACACTCTTCACTCATTGGCTGCTCTATTACAGCCCATCTGCAAACAAATGAGTCAAGTGACGGCTCACAACGTCATCTTATGCTGCTAAGAGTTTAGATTTAAAAACACTTTTTTTTTTCAATCAAATCGTAACAGTGTATAAAATGAAGAGACTATTTTGGTCCTCTGGGACAACAGCGGCGGCTCTTACGTTTATTTTCTATTTGTCCTTCATTATGAGTAGTAAGAAAAATCACATTTTCATTTTCTCTTCGTGATTGGCAGCACAAAGACATATCAGGGCCACAATGGGAATCTAAACAAATGATATTGAGAATTATATTAAGATTGAAGTCGTCTATTTATGACAAGAATTGAAATATTTCAAAGAAACAAAGTCATGTTTTTATGAGGAAAAAAAAAAAGTCGTAACGTCACAAGAAGAAACGTGTTAATTTATGAGAATGAAGACATAAATTTATCAGATTAAAGTTGAAATTTTAGATTTGATTTGGAGAAGAAAAAAAAAAACATACATGCGTCATAATGAAACGCATTGGGGAATGTAATGACGTTACACTTTAGTGTCGGGTTCAAAAATGACGTGAGACAGATGAGGTGCTCGTCTTTTTGCTAACTTATGCTAATATTATTTTTTAGATAAATAGCATTTATTTAACAAGACACGACGAGTCACTTTTTTCTCACGTTATTTTTTTTTTCTCGTAGCGTTTCGACTTCATTCTCAAAAATGTACAACTTTAACCTCATCATCATTTTGTTTTTCACAATGTGGCCCTGATACTCGATTGTACGGCACAGACGTTGACGCTTGTCTAAACACGCGATGTCACACAAGTACCACATGCCGATTAACACTTTAAAATTCTGCGATTACTAAATAGCTCGTTATGCGAATTCCTGACAGAAACACAAACTTAAATTTTAAACAGCAACCTTAAAAAACAAAGCAAGCGTTTAAGTCCTAGCCCTAAGGTCACTCAGTTAGCTTCGACGCTAGCCTCTCTACATAGAAAATGTAGCTGTGTACGCGCTCCACACTGCTGCAGCTCGTGAAAACCTGCACTCACTGACGAACTCACAGAAATCGTCTGGACTCTGAACTTTTTACGTTCACGCTTCTCAACCTCATCCGCTGCCCACGCAACATTTTGGACGCGATGCCTCAACACCAGTGTTTCCCAAACTTTTTTTTCTGGGGACCCATATTTTAAAAGTCACAAACCTTCGCGCCCCAAGTCAATAGACATTATTCGTAAACTCTTGGGAAATATGATGCGAGACGAGCACAAAAAAAAAAAAAAAAACTCTTGCGCCCCACCTGAGGGTCACGACCCAGTCCTTTGAGAACACCATCTACACCAACGACCGCGCAAAAGGAACGGACATGGTTTTTTTTTTTCAGTTGTGCATCTAAGTCAACATGTTTGAAGCCCGGAGGTGTGTTGCCTGAACTGGAGTTCTAGTTCTCTTGCGACCCACCTGAGGGTCACGACCCAGTCTTTGAGAACACCATCTACACCAACGACCGCGCAAAAGGAACGGACATGGTTTTTTTTTTTCAGTTGTGCATCTAAGTCAACATGTTTGAAGCCCGGAGGTGTGTTGCCTGAACTGGAGTTCTAGTTATTACTAGCTAAAGACGACGGGAATTACACAAGCGTATAACATAATTTAAATGACCCGGAAGGAACCATGTAAAACTTAAAAACTTCTTTACAAAGGCGTGAACGTTACGCAGAAGAAGCACTATTGACACGCATCAAACGTGACGACTGAAGGTGGCCCACTCGAACTGCTAAATCTAAGCTACGTCCATGTCCTTCATCATGTCCTTGGTTCCTGAGTAGATGACCTGCAGACTGTAAACGAGAGTTATGACACACAGCCTGTCAGATTTTCTCCCTGCGGAAAACGCAGGCTACGCGCCGTCTGTACTGTATCTATGACACGTCACCGGCACCGCACCTCGCCGCCGCGCGCCGCCTTATTCTGGGATACGTACACTTACACAAGGATGGCGATGTGGAGGAACGAACTGTGTGCTTCATTACCACGGTTTCAGAATGGAGAGTATCTTGATTTAAATGACACATCTAAAAAATAGGCTGTGTTTTAAAAAGAGGCCGGAGCGAAAAAAATAATTCAAGATCTGGATTAAAATACATCATAGCCCCAAGGTGGTTTTTCCGTGTGGTGGTGCCTTTTTTTTTTTTTTTTCATGTTTAAAATGTACAGTCATTAAGTGCTTGTGTGTGTGTGTGTGTGTTTTTGTGTGTGTGTGTGTATGTGAAACACATCAAATTTTCGGGAAGTAACAGAGTACTAAAGGAACAGAAATGACACTATAAAGAAGAAAATGAAAAACTACTGGTATGGTGGACTGTGCCGCCCGTCATTCACGGCCTGGGCACAGACCCACCTCCACCCTCTGTCCTATCACACACACACCCCACATCACACCGTCTTTTCCTCAGTCCTCCAAGACGATGGGTTCGCTGGTGCTGGTAGGAAGCAGGGGCATGGCCAGGGAACGAGGTGGTGGCGGCAGCTTTATCCGGACGAGGAGATGAGGTTTTCTAGCTGCGCGACGCATCTCTGATTGGGTCAAATGTTTCCTCAATGCCCTGTGAAAGACAGGGACAAAGAGAACAAAATACCCCAGTTCAATTTTGGAGGTTTTTTTAAGAAAAATATTTATTGACCAGATGTGACCAGTCTACGTAACATTATTAGCTGCTAGCACAGGCGTGGGCAAACTTTTTGACTCGCGGGAGACACAAGGATCCTAAAAATTAAACAGGGGGGGGGGCCGGGTCAGGAGCAGATAGATGGAATATTCATGTGAAGTAAGATAAATGACATGTGAAAGCCATGCAAAAAGGCTAAGATGCTAAAATGCTTTTATCATTTTTCTACACCACCTATTGGGGAAATATGGGTATTGCAGGGAAAAGGCAGAAGTATAAAGATAATATAAATAAATCATATAATTTGGAAAAGTTTGGCGGGCCGGATTAAAAAGGTTTGAACGGGCCGCCTCGGGCCCCCCGGCCTTAGTTTTTCCATGACAGTTCGAAACCTTTGGGTCTGACTGCAGTTATTTTCAAATTACTTGTGTTATATATTAATAAAATAAGTAACAATATTATAATTTTAATATATTTTTTTTTAAATATCTACGACACAGCTACTCACCTGAGAATTTAGGAATCCTCTGAGTTAAGATGTATCTCAATCTCTGGTCAGTTATTTAGTAAGAAAAGTAGAAGTAGTAGAGAGTAGGTAGTGATCTATATTATACTTATCGGGTCTTTTTTTTTGCTTGTTCTTTTCTTGTTTTTTCATGTATCTCTACCCCCAGTTTTCAATTGTTTTGTTGTTGTTGTTGTTAATGCATTAATCATTCACTGAGAGGTTGAATAAACACACGTACATTCCTTGTGCTGTGTAGATATTCGGGATCGTCGTAAGAAGCCGGTCATGCTGTTCATCCATGGAGGCTCATACATGGAGGGCTCTGGGAATATGTTTGATGGCAGCATCCTCGCCGCTTATGGAAACGTCGTTGTCGTCACGATGAACTATCGGCTGGGCGTGCTCGGTAAGTTGTTTTTTGTTTTTTAAAGGAAGTGCCTTAAGTAGTTTAATGGTGAATAATTTCACCTCAGGCGTGTTTGTTTTTTAATTCCGTTACGCAAGCCAATCTCTCACACGAACAACAGCGTTGTACGTCCTAGAAGGGTTGCCAACTGGTAGGCAGAACACTTACACGGTTGCGTTTGAAACCACTTTACAGCTTATGATGACGACAGCTTTCTGGTCTGAACTATTCTGGTCATCTAAAAAAAAAAAACAAAAAAAAAACCACCTTCTGGTCACACAAGTCTTAATGAGAGGACTGGCAGCTGGGGCCTGGGTTTTATAGCAAACGATGAATAAAGGTTTTAAAAAAAAAAGACTGACAGGAAACATCTGTTTCTAAGAAAAGAAACAGGAGACTTAAACAATTAAGCACAATGAAATATCGATGGAGAAACTGTGGAAAGTTTATCGTGTAAATTAGGGGGGGGTACTTACCTCCGTGCCAGCGTCGAGGTTCGGTGCGTTTTTGGTACGAAAAGAAATGTGGAGAGTCACATTGAATTGAATGAGAATAGTTGACGAGGAAAACAATAAGAAGTCGTCATTCCCCCTAATATATACAGTATGTGTGTATGTATATATATATATATATATATATAT